AAAGGCAACATAAAGTATATTTGCCTGTATTTAATTAAAATAATATAGTCAAACCTGTTCTGCATATAAAGATATGTCAAATGTTATTAGGTAGCTGGTTACTGTAAACAATCTCTGAAAGTCACCTTCTCTGCACAGAGCTTATTCGGAAAAACATTAAAAATGTAAAAGCATTAAGAAACATAAAATATTTACTGACTTTTGCAGATTATGCATCAATGTAGCTAGATGGGAACACTAACAAGTAGCATAATATTTATCTCACTGTCTTTTTAATAACCACCAAGGGCACTGCTCAGAGTTCTACACAGGAAACATGTGCTTTGGATTTCATCATTCATGCTGGTTCACCATCACACTGCCATGGCCTACTGAGACAGAACAGAGCCTTTGTTAATGTTTGCAACACCTGTGCTTGTCCCACTATGACACATTAAAAAGTGTCCGACAGTCCTACAATCACAGCTGGAAATGACAGGAAACCGGTTTAAATTTGGCTCAGGTCTAATTAGAAACCAGTTCACATTTCCAAACCCTAGTCACAGTAAATAACCTGTCTTGTTTACAAGCAGGTTATTATTATGAGATTAAGGTTGAAAACTTGCTTCAGATGTGTATTTAAAAAAGGGAAGGGAAGGAAAATGACAAAATTGCCACAGAAGGAAGTAGCGGCATTGACAGAAGGTGTTTGGTTGATTAACAGCCTTAGCAGGTTGCTGGTGAATAGATGTTTACTGTTCGCCAACCTTCATTGTACTTGGCCTACAAGGATCAATGCCTTTGTTTGTGTGTGTGGCAGTGCATAAGATTGCATACACACGTGTGTTGGTGTTGTGTAGTTGGGGTCAGTGAATATGTGTGCATATCTGTGTGTGTGTGTGTGTGTGTGTGTGGCATGTGATCTACTCTCACACATCACAGATCAAAGAGTAAAGGCAGCTGCCTGGTCATCTCATCCTAGGCCACCCTGGTGGTATATACTATTCTCTGGAAGGGCCTTGAAAACACACACACACACACACAGAGATTCACAAACACAACCGGATGAAACTAATTTTGGAAGGGTGCAAAAGACGCTAACAGTTACCATAGAAACATGCCACAAAGCTAAAGGGAGAGAGGGGGAAATAGAGGAAATAGAGGGGTGTTAGAGAGGCAGTCAGAGAATAAAATCAGCTCTGTCAATACGTTGCCAAGCAACACTCAACACTAACGAAGCCGGCTTTGATAACTTGTTGATAACACCAGTGGGAGAGCCTGTGTGTGTTAGTATGTGTGTGTGTGTGTGTGTGTGTGTGTGTGTGTGTGTGTGTGTGTGTGTGTGTGTGTCAGCAATGGCGGTGTTATTAGCAGAGGCAGTGTAAGAGCCCCTGCTGAGACATGCCCAATGCAGAGATAAGGGGAGAGACCTTCTATTAAAGGCAGGGTTACCAGTGGGCCTCAGGAACTCACACACATGCACGCACATTAGCAGAATACAAAGACCTCAGCAGACCCTCACGCAATAATGAATCACACAACATGACTAAAAGAGTGGTGCTTAAACATTTTTGTTTGTTTTTTTTATTCAACCTTTTTTTTCCAAACCAGGAATGTACTAGTTTTTTCCTCTCTTTAGAGGTGTGTTGGGGGGGAGGGAGGGGCTAGGAAACAGGGGGACGGGGGGAGGGGTCAGGGGTCGTCGTGAGTAGACAAGGGGGTAAGGAGGGGAGAAGAAAAGAGGAGTAGAGGACACAAAAAAAACCCTTCTCACACAGAGGTGTCCCAAATACAAAGTCTCAACACGTTACATACGAGAGCCACCTCGCTCCGCGGCCTCCGATCGCTGTCTATTGGCACAAAGAAACACACACTCACACACGTACACACATACACACACATCTTCGCCAACGGAGAGGTGAGGGAGCTCGGCGGTGGCGGCTTTTTTTCTCTCTCCCCCATTCCATAGAAACAGCACTTTCTTCTTTCTCTTTTCAACATGACAACCAGTGGCTGTGTCCGTGGTTTTTAGAAAAGCCAACACGTTGAGTCGACCAGTCAAACACAAACAAGTGAGAGCCAGAGACAAAACTTTGAAATAACATCGATATGAATAGAAGAAAAAAAAAAACTTTGAGTCCAAGAGATACTTGACATTTTGCTGAGAGGGAGGGGGAGAGGGAGCGAAATGGACTGAAAACAGGGCAGTGGCTTCTTTGTCGGAGTTGATGCCATAAAGTCCAAGAAGGTTTTTCTTCCCCCTCGTGGCAGCAGCCATTTTTGAACAAAATACTGTCATTTTGGATTGGAGCGCTCCAAAGAGACCTCCAGAAGTTGTTGAAGAGAGAGAAACAGACACTTCATTTGGCTTGGAGGATATTTTAGGTACTCTGAGCATGTTTAAATAGACATAGACTTAACAGCATACATAAAAAACAAAGTCGGTAGTTGTACAAAAAGAAGAATATGAGGAGTTTTCCCCCTCACTTCATCTTTGAAATCAATTTTGATACAGTCAAATACAATCCAAACTCATTTGTGGTATAAAAACATATCTGAACATCATCGTCATGTCTTGAACAAAGTCATTTCAGACAAATGTGACACTTAATGAACGATATCTCATTATATGATGTTAGATACTGACACAAAACACAGTTGAGAAATGTTGTAAGGTCCAGATTTAACACTGGCTTCACACAGAAAACATGGCACATCACTGGAGGCTTTATGTCTGCGCGTGTGTGTGTGCGTGTGCCTGTGTGTCTGAAAAAAATAAAAGCTTAAGCTCTCCACTGCCACCCAGTTTACACATAAGCCATAAACATGTTTGCGCAACACAAAACAGCTTTTTAAGTATGCACATGTGAACATATTGCACCTCTGAAAACAGCGTTGTTATTGCCCTCTAGGTTGAGGTGCTGGGCACTAGCGTGTTTATGTAAGTATGTGCGTGTGTGTGTGTGTGTTTGTGCGTGAAAGAGAGGAGAAAACACACAGCGCATAAACGTTCTTTTCATCCCTCCCATGTCCATTGGGTTAGTCTTAATCACGAAACTACAGAGTCATATGAAAGCAATCAGCTTTTTTATCGAGTGTGGGTGAAAGTGTGTGTGTGTGTGTGTGTGTGTGTGAGGGAGAGCAAGCAGGAGCGAGAGAGAATGTATGTCACTCAATGCAATCAGTAGGCATTTGTGACAGTCATTAAAAGGTGTGAAATCTTTTGTGTGGGAGGTTGAGCGTGCATGTGTGTTAAACAGAGAGAAACAGAGTGTACTGACTGCCGGGGGGGGGTTCTCTTGTGTGTGTGTGTGTGTGTGTGTGTGTGTGTTGTCCACAGCTAGCAATGTACTGTGTGTGTGACACGCATAGATGCATTTCAACACAAATTTTGGCGGAAAAGAGGAGCAAATCTGAAATGTGCCACCTCACGTTAACATAAAGTGTGACTGAGTCACAGTAGATGTGTGTGTGTGTGTGTGTGTGTGTGTGTGCGAGAGAGAGACAGCGTGTGATGAGATCTCTCCTTTCCATGGTCAAAGTTCAGTTCCTCCAAAATCCGTCTTGGCTGTTGGTCCATCACCTCCGTTCAGGAGGCTCAGACCCTCCTTTCAAAGAAAAGGTTTCTCTCCTTCGCCAGCCACTCATCATTCCTTCCTTTGGATCCTTCATCTCTCATTCCTGCCGCTCCCATCCTCCCCTGCCCTCAGCTTCTTTATCTTTAGTGTGCAATTCCTTCACAGTCTTTTCTTTCCTCGTCTCCCTCCCTCCCTTCCTCTTCCTTTTTTTTTTTAAAGTTCTGCATTCAGATGCTGCTTTATTCCTCCTCCCCAGACAGTACTCTCTCTCACCCTGTTCTTTTCCCTTTATTCTTCTTTTTCATTTCATCCCCTCTCGCCACCCCCTCCCCTTCCCCACCATCAAGCCCCCCGCCCCTCACTTCTTTTCACTTCTGCGTTCAAAAAAAGCGTTTGAAAAAAAAAAAAAAAACTTTCATAGATGGTTCTACCTCAACACTTCCACAAACGAGGTCTAAACTTCAAAACTACAGCATAGTACAAGGAGCTATAAAAATATACACAGAGTTCAGAGACCCTAGAGGGGTGGGAGGGGGGAGGAGGAGGGAGGGAAGGGGGTGAATGAGAGAGGGAAGAGAGGAAGAGAGACACAACCTCTGTTCGCCGGGAAAATTAAAAAAGGGATTAAATTAATATACAAAGCAAAGGGAAAAGGAAGGGAAATAAGGTCGTTCTAAGTTGTGAAAAACAAAAACAGCAGATAAAAAATGTCTAGCAACAGAAGTGTACTTTAACAGAGTGGGTAAAAATAAAAAAACAATAGAAAACAGAAAAAAAACATCTAGAAATTATTTACTGGATATTCATATATATAATCTATAAGTGTTGATAGCGATAAAAAATCTCACTTTTTTGATATTCGCTCACTATTTTGTGTTTTGGTATTTAAGACAAGTCTAAAGAACGCACGCGTACACACAGTCAATCACACACAAAGCGTACACACACACAAATTAAAACCCCACATGTGCATATGCAAACTCATATGCAAAGTTGCTGTACTGAAGCACACTAACTGCACACACACGTCTAATGTGGAGCAGCAGCGTCATAATTATTATCCAAGTCGTATGCACACTCGCACAGTCACACACACACATACATTATTAAAATATACAAGATTCTGAGTGTCACCGATTGGTCAGGCCTCCACAGGCCTGGGCCCGGTCATGTGACCGCTGCCTGGGCTTGCTGATTGGGTGAGTCCGAGGCCCCTTATTTTCTCAGGAGAAACAAACACAAACAAACTAGAATCCTATTGGTGAGTTAGTGGCAGGGGCCGGTCTCTGGTTGGCTGATCGAGCTCTGAGGGGTGGGGCGGTAAGCTAGGCAGGTATGGCCTCTGGCAATCAGAGTTCTGTGGCGCTAAGTGGGAGCAGAGGTGTATTTTTTAAATTTTTTAGTTGTAGTCCTTTTCTCTTTTTTTTTTTTCTTTTGTAAAACATCTCAAGTCCCAACGCCAGGTCCATCCTCCTAGAAACAGTGTGTTGCCACACGCACACACATTCTGGCGTTATGGGGACGACTCTTCAATTCAGCACGGGTGGCGCTCGTTTAGCTCTGAGTTAACAAGAGGGGGGCACTCAGAGGCTCTTGCCCATTCGTGAGGGCCTTGTTAAGAAGGGCTATGTATGAATACGACATTGCCCTTAACACACACTTGGTGGCCCGGTGGTGTGAGAATGGGGTGGGGTGGTTTATTCAGCTATAAACACATCTGTGGCTGGACTCACGGGACAGTGAGTGGGGTGGGGGGGGTGGGGTCCATGGGACAATACTGGTAGAATTTAGGGCTTCAGGGTCGGAGCTGTGATGGCGAGTTTTGCTGAGGCTTCATTTGGAGCAGGGGATTGGTCGGTAATGGGTAGAGGGAGGTGGATGTGTCCAGTCGGCTGGAGCTGCGGCTGTCTCATACTTTGTAGTAGATGTTGGCCGGGCTCTGAGGAGGCATCTCCTGGACGATGTAGACGGGGTGTCCATAGTCTCCGCTCACCTTCTCGTAGTGCGGGCAGTAGGCTGAGTCCGACGTCCGCAGAGGGATGATGATATCGCTGGGCTCGGAGCCGTTGTTGTTGGAGCTGGTGATTCCCCCGCCTCCTCCCCGCTTGGGGCTGGTGAGCGAGGACAGCGACAGTGGAGGGTGGTGGGTGTCTGAGTGCTTGGCGTGCCGCCGCCTGTAACACACCACGCAGATCACAGCGGTAACCAGCAGGAGGAAGGCAGAGCCTCCTGCGGCACCAGCGATGAGAGCGATGTTGGAGGGCTGAAGGGGCCCATTCTCGCCGCTGCCCTCGCCCCCTAAGCCGCTGCCTCCTCGAGACTGGGTGGAGTTCCCAGCGCCCCCTGAAACAAACGACAGAACAATCTTACTCCAGCATCCACAGTATCACAAGCTGCTTTCAGTGTTTCCTTTTGATTTATATATACATATTAATCATCACGAATATACCAGAGCAATAACACAGCTTGCTTTCACAATTTGTGTTTTCATGAGCTTTTAAATAAACATACCAATCCTTATGGCCCTGTACCACAATATCATGAGTAATGGTGCAGGTTTAGCTCTGCTAGTGACGGCTGCAGAGACTTAACCCTGTGGAATGCAATAAGTATACAGCAAATCTCACAGACACTTATATGTGGTCTCTTTATTGATGCAATGAAGTGGACAGCAGCGCATATAAAATGGAAAGGGATGTCTGTAGAGTCTGTGTGTGTGAGTGTGAGAGTACTGTATGGTATATACTCTTGTGGACAGCCCGGCTAAGCCACAGTGTGTATCAAGGTAACACACTCTATTTCTCTAACCTTAACAACTGTATTTACTTAGCATTACAGCCAGCCACATGAAGAGAGCTTCCCAACTCTGCTCCTACCACCAGACCACACACTCCGCCCGCCTGCTGGCCTTCCTGCCTGCCTGTCTGTCTTTTTATCTGTCTGTCTGTTTATCAAACTGTTTGTCAGCCGGTTGCTACCTCTGTCTGTTGCATGTCTGTCTGCCAGAAAACCTAAGATCTTCACAGCCTTGAAGCACACAGTTTTCTCTGCAGGAGGTCGGGGCAGAACTCAGCAGGTGGATGATGGCCTGGACGCGTGTATGAGTGTGTGCATTTGTGTGTGTGTGTATGTTTCTAGAATGGGGGGAGGCTAAGGCTCTGGCAACGGACCATGTGAATGTGTGTGGCGAACTGGTTAAGGCCGGTAATGCGAGTCCCTGCTATATAGAGCCTTTGGATTGGTCTATCATTATTCTTGGCACACATCCCTTTCTTTTCTCCCTGTCTGTCCCTCTCCAGCGTCTCCTCCGCTTCCTTGCCCTCCCTCGCTCCGTGGTTCTCTCTATCTTCGGGTTATTGTAGCCATAATGACCTACCTTGCTCTGAGCTCAGTCCCTAGCAACACAAACACACATACGGACACACGCACACTAAGATATGGACATACACAACCATTCAAGACCATGTGTTTGCACCTCATCCCACCCGCTGCTAGGCCCCCCATTGCGCTGGACTGAGTGGGAGCAAGGCGCTAATGCCGGACGCCGATTACACTCCCTTCTCCTTCCTCCCTCCATTAACCCAACATCCCTCATTCTCCATCTCCATTATGATCGCCGCCTTTCACCTGCTCTCTTTATTATATCCTCTTCGTTCACCTTTCCTCCTCCGCTTTCTCTTCTTACTCCCCTATTTTCCACTTCTCGCGCCCACCTGTGTTTCATTGTTTCAACCCCACAAGTTTGGACATTGACGCCTCCTTTTCCCCTTGCATACCTCGTTTTTAGTTCATTTGTGAATTTCACTTTGGAGAGTGACGTGGCCAGTGACAGGCCAGAAATGAAAGAACAGGTCGAGGGGATAACATAGTCTTAAAGAGGTGGTATTTTGGTTTTTGTCTTTTTCCCTCTCCTTTATTGTATTATATATCTTTTTTGTGCATGTATTAGGTTTGCAAAGTGAAAAAGCCCAAAGTCCAGTCCAAAGGGAGTTCCCATCTCCCACAGAAAACTCTGCTCTGAACTGCCTGAAAACAGCTCGTTTGTAGTCCAGCCTTTACTTCCCTTTTTTGTGACGTCACAAGTAAATATGTGTCATAATGCTAGCCGAACGACTAGTTCAACACGTCCTCAAAAACACTGATGGAAAAACACTGAGCTGCAGCACACATCTCTCCTCTCCCTTCCAAACACTAGCTACCCTCCAGGCAGTCAATGGACATAAAGTTGTTACTGTGATGTAGAGACAGAGCTCAGTTAAAACTTTATGGATGAAAGAGACTTTTGTTACAGATTAATAACTCACCACTCTGAAACTCTTGCTCCAGTCTATGTTGCCAAGCTGGTCGGCAACATGTAGCCTACAGCTGAATCGAAGCTGTTTACTGTCTTTTCGCTGACCCGCCTTTCTCTGCTTCTGATTGGCTAGTAGTCCTTAACTAGGAACTGTACATGTGCAACTCCAAAGATCATTTAGAGACGAGAATTATCACTCCATAGCTAAAACAAAGCCTTCAACACAGGGTGAAAAGAGGAGCTGCAGCAATGTGCAGTCTGACAAAAAATATGGTGTTTTTTGAAAATTAAACCATGTAAACCTTTTCTGGTACAACCCCTGAATAGGATTTGTTTTTGAGCCAGCTGTCCTTCCCCTTTAATTTCTTCAGTATAATCCACCTTTCAGGAAGCACTTTGTCAAATTTTTCTACACACGTTTTGAAACTGTTGCATAATGCTTGAGATACTTGTTATTTACCAACCAAATTGATGCACATTATTTATGCAGATTTCGGACAATTATGTCAAAATAAAGTGTGAATCTGTGCGTTTCTCATCAACAACTTTTAAATGAATACATTCGAGAGGATGCAACAAGATTACATAATTAATGCAGCACCAGTAACTCTGATGCTTCGTGGCATTTCAATGCTGCTTCCCTTTTGTTTTTTTCCAGTAATTTGTATCTTTCTATCCATGTGTACTCTGTGGTGTTTTATCAACCGCTATGGTGACACAGAGGGGGGCTTGAGATGCACCGAGGGCCCCAGTCTGGACTCGCACCAGAGACTTTGCGGTTGCATACATTCCTGACACCCTTGCTCACTCTAGTCTTTGTTTTATTTGTTTTGGTTTCCAGTGGTGTGAAAGCATGGCATAAATATATTGTTTTACAATAGAAGATGCAGAAGTGTATTGGAAAAATCTGTTTCCGTCTTTTCCATAACTTATTTCTGCCAGTTTCACTCAGGTTGTTTGGTTTACTGCACCAATTCAAAACTCGTTATCACTGGTAATAGGAGTTGGAATTCCGATGCCATTGTTGAACCAGTGACAGTGGTGTGTGTGTGCATTTGGGGTGAAATACAAAGCCACTATTAAATCTGTATCTGGCTGGTTTATTTCACCCCAAAAACTGTATTCAGGTTCATACTGGAAGTGGGTGGGGTCCATGTTAGAAGCTGTTGAAAGCAGATTGCTTCATTTGCTGTTAAACTCTTGTCCACTGCAATTTCTATTACTGTCAAGTCACACGCAGTGCCAGACGTCAGTATCAGATCATGAGGAAAAAATAACAGCAGTGCAACAGTTAACCGACAATGCTCAACTAATCTGAACACTGATGAAAAGTAATTGAGACTGAACATCTCTGAATGTCTGAACACAGGACGGAAAACTAGGAACTCTATGTTTTAAGCCTACAGGCTATTTATTTGCATATTGGTAAATCTGCACCACGAAAATCCCTGCTGCTTTGGTTACTAGTTCTTGTTTGCATGGTACAGATGACAACTAACTGGATTACATTGATACTGAAGTCTGAATCCACTGATTATGTGACCAGATCTGAAATTTTAAAGAACGCCTCTTTTCTACAATTTCCAAACAGATTTACAGATGTTTATCCTCGATGGACATCTGAGATCCCGCCACCTCTGAAAAAAGAGTGAGTTAGTTGTGTTTGTCTGTGTGTATGATGTCTGAGAAGAAGACATGTAGTCTGAAGCAAATTATGCCAATTATGTGACAGAGAAAAAAAAACTCTAAAAATTCAGACGCTGAGCATATCTGCTCACATCTCAATAATGTATTCGTGTACATCCCCAGAGAGGACCAGATTCGACAAACAAACTAAATGAGAGGCTGTGAATAACCGGCTATATTCCAGTTATTAGCTGAGATGATTTCATGTGTATTCACATGAGGATCATAAATTCTGGCATAACTGTTGTGTCAGGAGTCAAAACAATCATTTCAGATAAGTGTTTGCTAACATGTCCTTGTGTGAGAGTCAAAACTGTGTAAAATCCCTCATTATGTGTGCAATGTAAATCAGTCTTGTAGCGTGCCAACTGTTATCCGTCTCATTCTAGTAAAAACAGTGCATACTATTGTTGCTTACTTCACATGTACCGTTCTCACCTATGTGAGGTATGGACAAGTGATTAGACAATGTGCGAATGCCCCAATTCACACATTTGGTATAATACACGGATTCACCACCAAAATAAGTAAATATGAACACAGCTGAGAGCAGATCATGTTCTTTCTCCTCCATTGAATGACTTTGAGGTAGAGCATGAATCTAGCTTCTCTCCATTTCCATCTCCTTGTTCTATTCCCTTCTCCTCTTTGCTTTTCAATTATTCTCTTCTTTCTCCACCTTCTGTGCCTCCCACTTCTATCCACTCTGTTCCATCGCTCCCCTATGTCTCCTCATCTCTCTCCCCTCATCTTTCCGTAATTCTCATTTCTTTCTTTCTTCCTCTCTCTTGACGGAACTACAGAATCCAGGCCACCCGAACTAATGACAATAATAATTCTCTGAAATGTCGCCGCCGGTCTGGCCCTCTCTCCTGCTGCCCCCTCTCTCTTTCTGCTCCTGCCTCTTTCTTCCTCCCTCTCTTTTTCTTGTCCTTCTCCCAAGGTAGCTATTAGCCATCCATTCCCTGCCTGCAGCACTTAGCTCAGAAGGCTGGGTGCCGAGACGAGGAGGAGAGGAACAGAGCAGGGGAAAGGGAGAGAGAAAGATATGGAATTAAATAGAGAGATCCACAGATGTCACCGCTGCACATTCTCCATCTGTCGCCTCCTCCCTCCCTCTCCCTGCTGCTTTTCTTTTTATCTACCAGTCTTTGCTTATTCTCTCCATCTATTTTGTGGATGGATCCGCCGAGGATTATCTCCATTTGGTCTCCTGCTTACCTGGGTTTCTGCTGGTGGTGCGTCCCGCTGCATCCCGCTCCTTCGGTGGAAGCCCATATGGGCCTGTGGAGGAAAAATAAAGGTGGAACATGAGCAGAATGGCGGAAACACAGAGGCAGACTCTATCTCCTACAAGAGCCAAGGCTCTCAGAACTGGAACTAATAAGTTACATTAGCTGGCCAGAGAGAGCAATAGAGACAGAAGAAGGCTTCCCTCCCCTCCATTCCCATTATAGGAGAGCACATATTGATTGGGCTTCCTTGTGCTATGCCCAAGCACTTTTCCATTTGTTTGAATGGGAAACTAAAGAGAGGCAGTTTGTTGTTTTGGCCAGAGTGAATTTACACAAGGCCATAACGGCTTGTAATCTGTAGTCGCTAAATCAGGCCATCTGTCTAGCAAGCCCCCAGTAATGGTGATGGCATTAAAGTGCGTTTATGTGACACATGCAAACACACACACACACACATGCGCACGCACGCACAGATGCAGCTATTGTACAAGTGCCACTCCTCACAGCTGAAAGAAACGGTTCAGAAAATACTAATTTTGTCAGCTTCTGAGCAATTTGGCCAACACTAGGCTGCATGAATACAGTTTTTATATGACTATTCAGCAATTTACGCAACATTTTAAAGAGAGTCTGTTATTGGTCATTGCAGCAGCAGTGGAGGGCTAAATAGATATGACCATGGGGTGCTTATGGATGAAACTGTACAGTAAACCCACAAAAACACACACTACATTATGCCCATGCACAAACTGGTATTCACCAGGCATTGTGTGCGTGTGTGTGTGTGTGTGTGTGTGTGTGTGTGTGTGTGTGTGTGTGTGTGTGTGTGCACAGCCATCAACGTATACATACTGACATTTAGAGAAGTATAAGGCTATTGGCTGTCAGCTCCCTCATGACAGTCACCAAACACAAGTTAGGGGCGGTGCTGTCTGGATCAATAGAAACTGATGTGTGGTCAGTTGGGGCTAGTGGAGGCAGGCTGTGTGTCTGAGCCTGTGTGTGTGTGTGTGTGTGTGTGTGTGTGTGTGTGTGTGTGTGTGTGACAGAGACAGAGCACAAGCAAGATAGATAAAGAATAAAATAAGAGAAGACAGGTCAATATATGTGTGTGGGCAAGGGTGCCAGTGTGTGTGTGTGTGTTCCTCAGAGCGAAGCAGAGCGCCATATCTCATCAGAGATCACCATGAGGCGGCACGCCGCTTATTTAGACGACAAACAACACAGACGTGACCTTTCAGCCAAATAGCAGATAAGACAGAAAGACAGAGGAAGACAGAGGAAAAGAGTGAAAATAACAGAGAGGGGGAGTTGTAAGAAGTAATGGCTAGCATGTAAAGTGAAAGGGAAGTGATGAGGACAGGGAAAAGGGGAATTTGAAAAGGAAGCAAGCAATTTTTAAAAAAGATGAAAAAAGGCAAATGCAGAAGGAATAGAGAAGACGTGAAGGAAGGACGGAGGAGATAAGAGAAAAAGACAGAAGATGAAAAGGAGCCAGTGAGAAAATGAAGGAAAGAAATATAACAAATAAAAGATGTGTGTGTGCATCTTAGAACTTCATAGAGTTGTATCAAAGTGGCAGAGGAGTTTGTGTGTGCATGCGTGTGTGTATGAGGTAGGTAGCAATTCCATTGCCCATGTGGTGAAAAAGCCAGGGGGAGAGAAAGTGCGTGTGTGTTGGTATTTCTATTGAGCTGAGCTGACTATGCCGATGTTACGCGCTGATAGAGCCATGGCTGCACCAATTGGCTCTTTGATGAAGAGCACCTACAATACACAGGGCCTGATAACACAGGATAGGCTAAAGGAATAGAAATAGGCGATTATGTGTGTGTGTGTGTGTGTGGGGGGGGGGGGGTCGTGTGAAGGACAGGTGCCTATTATCTGTAGAAATGCACAGGTCAGTGAAAATGCTTAAATGGGGCCTTTTTTTTGCTTTTGCTTTTCTTAAAAATCCTGCATGTGAGGGTCATTACCTGTAAATATTTTCCAAACAAATTAGAAGTGTGTGCAGCTACGAGTCATTAAAAATCACTGACTGTGTGCTTTCATTCTGAATGGAGTCATTTTATTATCATGCTGTAGCTGGCAGGTCTGCTGTGTGCGGGGAAATGTGTGTGTTCTGGTGTGTACGTGTGTGTCCATACGCCTGCATGGACGTTTGCATCTCTGCGACGGTGTATGCGCTCATGCACCTTGCACGTGTGAGCTAATGTTTATGCCTGTAATGTATATACCGCGTGGGGATATGTGAGTGGCACTGTGTGTGTTTGAGTGTGTGTGTGTCCAGTGTGAGTCAGTAGTAGTTAAAAGGCAGAGTGAGAAGGGAGTCAACAGGGCTCATTAGAGCTGACTGATCCCACACTTCTCTGCTGTTCTCACTACTTAACGAGCCCTAATACACTCGGTGAGAACACACACAAAGAAGTGATGTACGTGTGTGTGTGTCCACGTTTTGTACGGGTGTGTTAAGAAAGAGGAAGATAAGAGAGATGGTTTAAAAGTGGAAGAGCCTGCATGCCAGATAAGGTGCAGTAATGAATGTGTACTGCTTTGTATTGTACAGATGGGAGATGATGTGCGATGCGGTGGACTGGAGCCAACGTGTGTTAGTCATAGAGTGTGGCAACTGAGCGATTGTGTGTGGCGCATGAATAACAATGTGTGCATTATGAGTGAGTGAGAGAGTGTGTGAAGAAGAGTCCTATGTGTGGTGGACTCCAGGAGTGCATACAGGAGAGCTCAGGTGTGTGTATGTGTGTGTGTGTGTGTGTGAGTGAGAGAAAATAATGTAGGACGAGAGAGGTGAGAAGACTTACTCTGCCCCACTTTCAGGACCACCTTCATGCCTTGCGTGGCACACACTCCGCCTCTCATGCTATCCAGGCCTTGGCGTGTCCCATCTGACGTAGCTGGAAGGGATGGAAACACACAATTACACAATTATCCAAGTAGCATGGTGGTACACACACACACACACACACACACACACACACACACACAAACACACAGTGGTAAGCCAACTGTTTAAGCAGCACAACTTCACTCTCTCTCAATCTATAGCCGACACCAACAATAGCTGCTATTCATATGGTCAGCCATTCCAGAGAGTCAGCGAGTGACATTTGCAGAGGCAGCAATTCAAACTCCACCAGAAGCTCTGAAATGTCAAACTACGAAGCAGCAGCACTTTAATAAGTCCTCATTTAGCAGTCTGCTGGAATTCATTAACACCCCCGCCGCGCTGCATGGACTCAACTGCTTTCAGTCAACTGCAATTGCTGCTCGGGCTGGAGAAATAGCAGGAGAGGGGGGTAATTTAGAGAGGCAAAGACTGGCTGATGGAAAAAAGGGATGGTAATCCAATCAACGGCGCATATGAAATAAAATGGAGCCCCTGAGACAAATAACACTGTGTGTAGAGAGAAACTGGACCTGACTGCTTAGAAAACCGACCGTGTTGAAGGAGTTAAAGCTCCAATTGGTAATACCCCATTATTATCACTGCTTATGTTTTAATTAAGAGAATTATAAAGAATCTTTCCGATTTAAAAGTAAGCAATTCATACTGGCATTTTCAAGCTATAAAAGGTTTTGCTTAAAAATGCAACAATTTGATCAAAATAGCAGAGATAAAGAGTCAGATTTCAAATTTAGCACCCTAACCTGTGCTGGAATCTTTCTAGTGAAGTTAGGAAGGGGGTCATAGGAGGTCCAGCAGTGCCGACAAAGTTCAAAGGCAAAAGTGTGTGTGTGTGTGTGTGTGTGTGTGTGTGTGTGTGTGTGTGTGTGTGCGCCAAATCCCTGTGACACTCTAACACTTCTTACATAAAGCATGTCAGTGAATGCATTAACAATCACTCGTCTGCAGGTCACAGAGGCTGGAGGGAGAGGAAGGAACACACAGGGAGAATCAGGATGGAGGGATCAGACAGTGAAAGTGGAGGGGTGGAGACATGAGGGCGCAGAGACAGTGAACGAGACACAAAAGAAAGGAGGACAGAAAGAGGAGTTAAATGTTTTAATGTTTAACTTGATGGGAGGACTGAAAAAAGACAGTAAACATATTCTACCTCCTTCCACCAGCCCGCTCAAACCCCCCTGCACACACTGCCCGTCTATCCTTATTTTCCCAGCTATAACCCCTAGGCTAACCCTCACCAGGTCTCCTTAAAGAAATATAAAAAATAAATTTTCCCCCCACTGCTTTGCTTCAGGCTATAGATTAGCCTGTCTGAAATGAAGCAGAAAGGGAAGGATGGCAGAGGGCTACGGAGAGAGAGAGAGAAAGGGAGGTGTGAAAAAGAGGCAGCATTACTTTTAACACCTCCCTCTCTATCGCTCTCTCCCGCCATCCCTGCAGGATGCAAAGTGTGAAAGCAGAGGAGGAGAGAAGCAGGCGGAGGTCATGGCGAACAGCAGTATGGTGGGAAAGCCAGGAGACGCATGGATGAAGGGATATATAAAGAAGGTTTAATTTAAGTGTTGTGAAAAAGTTTGTACGTTCCTCAAGTTTTTTCTATTATTTGTTGTGTTACCAAATCATTATAACATATAGTAGTTTAGACCTGTGTAACGTAGGAGGCAAACTGTATTCATTTTAATGAAGTTCAAAAAATGGAAATTAGTCAAATGTGCCAAATTAAGTACAGACTCCAATTTCATCAGGGCTTAATTGTGTCATTGAAAAATACTTTGGCTGCTCAGATTGCAAATTCAGGCAGCATGTTTGGAACATCAGTCAGAGATACTAGGGAATTTCTGATTCAGAAGAGATTGGGCCTTATGCAAGAACCACTTGTTTGAACAAATTTGTTCTTTAATTGCACCTTCAACTCTTTAGAATTTAGAAACATTAATGGTCATGGACGGACTTTCACGGTCCACCCCCTCCATCTCCATGCCTTCCCTATTTAAGACTTATTTAAATTGTATAACTTCATTAAAATAAATGAAAATTTGTAACCACTTAAGTGTTAAAGAGACGGTTATGGTTTCATACAAAATACATAATCACCCTGAAATTTTATAGCACAACTAAATGGACATTTAAGTGGCATAGAAATTTGGTAATTAGTTTAGCCAATCAAGTGGGGCAAAGTAAGATATACACAAATGTTTTCTTTTTTTTTGCATATTATGAAACACACAGAAAACATATTTATTTGCAATATTCTTCTGCATCTGCATCTGTTTTTAAGTTACATAAATATATTTTATTTCTCCCTTATGATGAATGACTGAGCCTTCAGATCGAATCTGATTGAATCTGATGAATCTGATTGAATCTGTAGACAGATATAATTAACAAACCAAGTGCACGTAACTGCATCTATTTATAAGAAATTATGTTTAATAATGTATTTTTTAATATTATTAATTTCATATTCTTGTTTAGATGCACAGAGTATGAAAAAATTTAATAAATGAATTATTTAAAATGTATAATCTATTTAAATTATTATTTGAGTAGGTCTACAGAATGTGATAAAGACAGGGCAAAACCTGAGTGTAGCAGATCTGACTGCAGGAATGGATGGAGGATGGTCTGAGAGAGAAGGGCGGAGGACTATGATTTCTGAGAGTAATAACTACTGACACGCGAAGGAGGACAAGAAGGTGACAGGAATACGAGGGAGGTGAGGAAGACGAGGGCGAGGAAAGGAGGAGGCCATGCAGGGAAGTGAGGCAGGGAGACTGATTGCCTGTGACAAGCTGTTGGTGATATGATGGGGACAGGAGACTATGTGAGACAATGGAGATGACCCTGAGCCCAGTGGACGCAGGGAGGATGAGAAGGGAGGAAGACACGATTCATGGAAAGGAGGGGTGGGGGGGAGTGGTAGAGCAGAGAAAAAGTAGAGAAGTTAAAAACAGAAAGTAAGGAAAGAGTTTAAATGACATGATAGATAGCAGGGAGGTGAAAGACTCTAATGTCTCCATTATAGCAAAGTGGAGCGGTAATGGATACAAAGAAGAGAGAGACATAGAAAGAGACAGAGACTGAGAGCAGGGGAGCCAAATTGAACCAGGAGAGCCTCCACAAATGTGATTTTGCAAATGCAAGTCATTTTTTCAACATCATAATCAACAGGTCACAAATATCACAAAGGCAATTTTTGTTAAAACATGAACTGCATCATGAGAAATCCTCTTAAATCCATTAGACGTGTTGCAGGTGCCACTATTTCTGTGAATCTCAATTTCACAGGAACAAAGCGAACAAAGAGATCATAGCTGCTTTGTCCTTGGATCGAAAATATTCCCCCCACCCACCCAGTCTTGGCTCCTAAACACTGAAAATTTCCCTTGCACTTGAGGGGGAAAAGATATCACCAAATCAAGGTAGAAATAATCACAGCACACCTGTGAAATCCTGATGAGAGACAGAGATGAGAGCGGGAAAGATGGGGAGATGTGGGAATGGCGTGCCTCACATCGTTCCCGCCTCACTTCGGGAGGACAGGGAGAGAAACAAGGGAGCGGGGAGGGGTGTATGGAGCAATTTGGGATGAGATAAGAGGAGAAGGGAGGAAGAACAGCGAGAGAGAGAAAAGAGGGAGAGGAGGGATGAGTAATTGAGACAATGATCAGCAGTGATGGGGGGGGGGGGGGTTGTGAAGCGCCAGAGGACAGAGGAGAGGAAGGGCGTCGCTCCACCACCCTCGTTCAACAGGAGGCAGAGGCGGAGGAAGTGGAAAAACTTAATTAATGAAATAATACCGCAGTCAACCTCAATCAGACTGCACAGCGCCGGGGCTCTGCACACAAGGAGGCAGGCGGCCAGGCAGGCCGGGGGAAGAGTGTGTATCCAGTCCATAGAAAAGATCACAGAGTGGATCAGAGTCTTTCTTGTCTCTCTTGTTATTACCAAGGTCAAAGCTGGGCCAAGCCTCTTCTCTGCCTCCATTATCGCTGCTGAAGTTGGCCCACCATTACACAGAAGTGGAAGATGACACCACCAGAATCATATCTCACACCGCTCAGTCATTCAGGGACTTAAACCCCGCGGCTGACATGCGTTCAGCTCTACATAGACTGTCACCCGCTGCAGTGGACTATGCAAAGCTCCTTGATTTGCATTAAGACGCAGCACGGACCTCACTGTTTGCCCTCCCACTCTATTCCTCCCTCCCCCTGCGGTGTGTTTTGCAGCCCTGGTTATATATTCCACACATGCTGAGTGACAGCCAGCCTCCCGCAGCACAACACTTGCTTGCTATGTGAGTGATGTGAATTTGTGTACATGCTGATGTTGTTATTTCCATCACGTCCTTCTGTCTACTTTGGGACACGGCTCACATTTCACTTTGCTCAAAAGTCACAAGAAGTGCAGTTTTATTACCCGATTTCATATATTTCCGATGCCAACTTTCAACGCAAAGTGCTTTCCCAGCTTTTTGGTGCATTAAGTTGTTTCATGACATGGAAACAAGGTTTTGGGGGCGTTTAAAACCAAAAATGCATTGCTGAATTCCAGGCTGTTATCAACCAGGCAAAGTGGGCAGCTAACCCCAGAACCCCACAACTGCAGGGTCCAAAAGAAAAACTTGTTTTGTTATTGTTGTTGTTGAGCACACAAGTGACAGAAGTGAGCAATATGTTTTCTCAGCTCAGTAAGAAGATTCTTTACAGAGATTTTACTAAAAATAATTAAACTCTTGCTTATGTCAAATGTACATTTATTTGTTTCTGTCCTGTTTTTATGCTGTTTTGATTAAACCTTTAATAGTTAACTTAGTTGTTATTATGGTTTTTATGCAGATTTTGTTATTGTCTTTTTTTACCATGTAAAGTGTCTTTGAGTACCTTTTAAAGGGCTATACAAATTATTATTATTATTATTATTATTATTTGGTGCATTTGACTAAATAATATGTGCGTTTAATATGTTTTACTTGAAGATGACCAG